TGATGGTAAGGCCCCACCTCTTAGTGGCAAGCTCCAGGTTCAGCAGCAGCGCCTCCAACTCCTCCTCTGAGTGTTCAGCAATTACAAGATCATCGGCATACGTAACATGGTTGCCATTCCTTGACTGCACCCGGGCATCGATCAGCCTCCCATTGCATCTTGAAATTTATCTGATACAGCTATTGAAGGCTTCATAAACTACATGGTCAAAATAGATGTTAAATAATGTGGGAACCAGAGGACATCCCTGTCGCACCTCAAAGTGAGCAGGGAATGGCTCTGACTCCTGGCCACGTAGTTTTACCCAGGCCCGCTCACCATCATGAAGGTCATTAATGATCGGGAGCAGAGGGTCAGGGACTCCGAAAGCACGAAGAACAACCCAGAGCCCAGGCCTACTGATGATATCATAGGCCTTGTCCAGGTCAATAAAGCAGAGATGTAGGTCTTGTTGAAATTCCCTACACCTCTGCTGTAGCAGACGGACAGAAAATATGGCATCTGTGCAGGACCGCCCTTTCCTGAAACCGCATTGGGGCTCCGCAAGCCTCTCCTCAGCGTGCCTAGCAAGGCGATGTTGAATAATCCTTGCCAGAACCTTTCCCTGTATACTGAGGAGTGAGATGCCCCTGTAGTTGTTACAGTCTGTGCGGTCACCCTTCTTAAAGAGGGGGACCACCAGGGCATCCTTCCAATCCTGCGGAACCCGTCCAGGGGTCCAGACTGTTGTTATGATGTCATGTAGGGCAGTCTGTGCACAAACGCCACCCTCCCTCAGCATTTCGCTTGGGAGATCATCTCTGCCTCGTGCCTTTCCTGGTCTCAGACTCCTGATTGCCTTCAGTACTTCCTCAATAGATGGCACCTCAGCCAGCCACTCACAGGGGGTGACTTCTTCTTCCAATATTTAAGGCACCGCAGCCTCAGCAGGGTCATCCCCACTTTGTGCCACGATGTTTTCCAGGCTGGGGGATTTCCCCTCCCCCAGGACCTTACAGAAATGCTCAGCAAATCTGCAAACCACTTCCTGGGGGTCAGAGATTGGATCACCGTTCTTTCCCCTAATGATGGTAATAGGTGTGGCGCTGCAGGTTACTTTTTTGATGGAGTTAAAGAGCGATTTGTGATCGCCGGCCACTGAGGCAGACTCCATCTCCTCAGCAACCCACGACCACCACCCATCCTTGCAGCGCCTCACAGCTCTCCGAACCTCCGAGCGAAGGCTGCGGTAAGCCTCCTCATTCTCCGACGTGGGATGCTGTAGCCGATGACAGTGGGCCTGTCGCTTTTTCTCAGCCAGCTTGAACACCTCCTCTGTCAGCCAGGATCTCTGGGGAGGTCTGGACCGCGTACCCAAAGCAGCCATTGCAGCTGCATGAGTCACAGTCCTAAACCTCGCCCATTTACCCTCCACATCAGGAGGAGTGGGGGACGATGCCAACCCCAGCCGCAAGCGATGATGAAATTCTAACTTGCAACTTTCATCAGCTAGCTGAGACCAGGTCAATATGGGTTTGAATGTGGTCCTGGGTGTACACCCACCACCGGAGTGGAAGAATGGCAGGCGCATCTTACAGATGACAAGTCGATGGTCAGTGGGCAGATCAGCTCCACGGTAGGTCCTGGTGTCAAGGACATGGGCCCGCATCCGCTGTTCCATCACTATGTAGTCCAGCAGATGCTTGGACCCGGCATGCATCCGTGATGGATGCGCCGACGTAGGAACAGCGTGTTGGTAATTACAAGCCCATGGGCTGCATAAAAATTTAGCAGCCTCCTACCGTTGTTATTAATCTGATATGGCCCATGCCCTCCAATAACTCCAGACCAGGTACCAGCATCGTGACCAACTCGGGCATTGAAGTCGCCCAACAAGATGACTCTATCCCGAGGGGCCACTTTAGCCAGCACCTGTGACAGGAGGTCAGAGAAGGCATCTGACTCATCGGCTTTGCCTGCATCCCTCCACGGATGTTCGTCTTCGGTGGGGGCATAAGTAACCACGACCACCATTCCTCGCCTCCGGTTGATGGGAAGGCGAGCCCAAAGTAGCCTGGGGCTTACAGCTTCCCACACCTCACAGCCACGCTCCCACGCCCCCTTCATTCACACCCTCACCCACCCACACCCACCCACCCACCCACCAACCCACACCCTCACCCTCACCCACACCCACTCACACACAACCACTGACCCACACACCCCCACCCCCACTTACCCACCCACTCATCCACACACCCACACCCCCACCCACACACCCCCAACCACACCCCCACCCACCCACCCACCCACACTCACCCACCCCCACCCACCCCCACCCACACACTCCCACCCACACACTCCCACCCACTCACCCCCACACACCCACACACACACCCACACACCCACACACCCACACACACACACACCCACACACACACCCACCCACTCACTCACCCACCCACTCACCCACCCCCCCACCCCCACACCCCCCCACCCCCACCCACCCCCACCCACCCACCCCCACACCCCCCCCACCCCCACCCCCCACCCACCCCCCCCACCCACCCACACACCCCCACCCACACACCCCACCCCCACCCCCCACTCATCCACACACTCCCACCCACACACTCCCACCCACCCCCACCCACCCCCACACCCCCCCCCCACACCCCCCCCCCACACCCCCACCCCCACCCCCACACCCCCACCCCCACCCCACCCCCACCCACACCCCACCCCACCCCCCCCCCCCCCCCCCCCCCCCCCCCCCCCACCCACCTCTCCCACACCGTGACAAACTGTCCCCAGTGCTCCACCTCTCGCTCTGCGTCCGGCCCGTCCAGGGCGAGGCGGCGAGCCACGGGCAGAGCCCTCAGGGTCAAAGTTCGGCCCCACGACTCCACGGGGTCACGGCGCACCGCACACGACACCAGCAGCGCCGACGCCACGGCGCCCAGGTAGCCTAGCAACGGCGTCGTCATGACTACAGGTAGCCTAGCAACCAGCAGCGTCGTCGTGATGACTACAGGTGGCCTAGCAACGGCGTCGTCATGACTACAGGTGGCCTAGCAACGGCGTCGTCATGACTACAGGTAGCCTAGCAACGGCGTCGTCATGACTACAGGTGGCCTAGCAACCAGCAGCGGCGTCGTCATGACTACAGGTAGCCTAGCAACCAGCAGCGTCGTCGTGACTACAGGTGGCCTAGCAACCAGCAGCAGCGTCGTGACTACAGGTAGCCTAGCAACGGCGTCGTCATGACTACAGGTAGCCTAGCAACCAGTAGCGTCGTCGTCATGACTACAGGTAGCCTAGCAACGGCGTCGTCATGACTACAGGTAGCCTAGCAACCAGCAGCGTCGTCGTGACTACAGGTAGCCTAGCAACCAGCAGCGGCGTCGTGATGACTACAGGTGGCCTAGCAACGGCGTCGTCATGACTACAGGTGGCCTAGCAACGGCGTCGTCATGACTACAGGTAGCCTAGCAACGGCGTCGTCATGACTACAGGTGGCCTAGCAACCAGCAGCGGCGTCGTCATGACTACAGGTAGCCTAGCAACGGCGTCGTCGTGACTACAGGCGGCCTAGCAACCAGCAGCGGCGTCGTGACTACAGGTAGCCTAGCAACGGCGTCGTCATGACTACAGGTGGCCTAGCAACCAGTAGCGTCGTCGTGACTACAGGTGGCCTAGCAACGGCGTCGTCATGACTACAGGTGGCCTAGCAACCAGCAGCGTCGTCGTGACTACAGGTGGCCTAGCAACGGCGTCGTCATGACTATAGGTGGCCTAGCAACCAGCAACAGCGTCGTCGTGACTACAGGTGGCCTAGCAACCAGCAGCGTCGTCGTGATGACTACAGGTGGCCTAGCAACGGCGTTGTCGTGACTACAGGTAGCCTAGCAACCAGCAGCGGCGTCGTGACTACAGGTAGCCTAGCAACCAGCAGCGGCGTCGTCATGACTACAGGTGGCCTAGCAACGGCGTCGTCATGACTACAGGTAGCCTAGCAACCAGCAGCGGCGTCGTCATGACTACAGGTAGCCTAGCAACCAGCAGCGTCGTCGTCATGACTACAGGTGGCCTAGCAACGGCGTCGTCATGACTACAGGTAGCCTAGCAACCAGCAGCGGCGTCGTCATGACTACAGGTAGCCTAGCAACCAGCAGCGTCGTCATGATGACTACAGGTGGCCTAGCAACGGCGTCGTCATGACTACAGGTAGCCTAGCAACCAGCAGCGTCGTCGTGATGACTACAGGTGGCCTAGCAACGGCGTCGTCGTGACTACAGGTAGCCTAGCAACGGCGTCGTCGTGACTACAGGTAGCCTAGCAACCAGCAGCGTCGTCGTGATGACTACAGGTGGCCTAGCAACGGCGTCGTCGTGACTACAGGTAGCCTAGCAACGGCGTCGTCGTGACTACAGGTGGCCTAGCAACCAGCAACGGCGTCGTGATGACTACAGGTGGCCTAGCAACCAGCAGCGGCGTCGTCATGACTACAGGTGGCCTAGCAACCAGCAGCGGCGTCATGATGACTACAGGTGGCCTAGCAACGGCGTCGTCATGACTACAGGTGGCCTAGCAACGGCGTCGTCATGACTACAGGTAGCCTAGCAACCAGCAGCGGCGTCGTCATGACTACAGGTGGCCTAGCAACCAGCAGCGTCGTCGTGACTACAGGTGGCCTAGCAACCAGCAGCGGCGTGATGACTACAGGTAGCCTAGCAACGGCGTCGTCATGACTACAGGTAGCCTAGCAACCAGCAGCGTCGTCGTGACTACAGGTGGCCTAGCAACCAGCAGCGGCGTCATGACTACAGGTGGCCTAGCAACCAGCAGCGGCGTCATGATGACTACAGGTAGCCTAGCAACGGCGTCGTCATGACTACAGGTGGCCTAGCAACCAGCAGCGTCGTCATGACTACAGGTGGCCTAGCAACCAGCAGCGTCGTCGTGACTACAGGTGGCCTAGCAACCAGCAGCGGCGTCGTGACTACAGGTGGCCTAGCAACGGCGTCGTCGTGACTACAGGTAGCCTAGCAACGGCGTAGTTACTATAAATAGCCTAATGAGTGAGTGAGTGGGTGAGTGAGTGAGTGGGTGGGTGAGTGAGTGGTGAGTGAGTAGGTGAGTGAGTGGTGAGTGAGTGAGTGGGTGAGTGGGTGAGTGAGTGAGTGAGTGGGTGGGTGAGTGGGTGAGTGGGTGGGTGAGTGAGTGTGTGAGTGGGTGGGTGAGTGAGTGGGTGAGTGAGTGGGTGGGTGAGTGAGTGAGTGGGTGGGTGAGTGGGTGAGTGGGTGGGTGGGTGAGTGAGTGGGTGAGTGAGTGAGTGGGTGAGTGAGTGAGTGGGTGAGTGGGTGAGTGAGTGGTGAGTGAGTAGGTGAGTGAGTGGTGAGTAGGTGAGTGAGTGAGTGAGTGGGTGAGTGAGTGAGTGAGTGGGTGAGTGGGTGGGTGAGTGAGTGTGTGAGTGGGTGGGTGAGTGAGTGAGTGGGTAGGTGAGTGGGTGAATGGGTGGGTGAGTGAGTGAGTGGGTGAGTGAGTGGGTGAGTGAGTGGGTGAGTGAGTGAGTGAGTGGGTGAGTGGGTGAGTGAGTGAGTGGGTGAGTGAGTGAGTGGGTGAGTGAGTGGGTGAGTGAGTGGGTGAGTGAGTGGGTGAGTGGGTGGGTGAGTGGGCAAGTGAGTGGGTGGGTGGGTGAGTGAGTGAGTGGGTGAGTGAGTGAGTGGGTGAGTGAGTGAGTGGGTGAGTGAGTGGGTGAGTGAGTGAGTGGGTGAGTGGGTGAGTGAGTGAGTGGGTGAGTGAGTGAGTGGGTGAGTGAGTGGGTGAGTGAGTGGGTGAGTGAGTGGGTGAGTGGGTGGGTGAGTGGGCAAGTGAGTGGGTGGGTGGGTGAGTGAGTGAGTGGGTGAGTGAGTGAGTGGGTGAGTGAGTGAGTGGGTGAGTGAGTGGGTGAGTGAGTGAGTGGGTGAGTGAGTGAGTGAGTGGGTGAGTGGGTGGGTGAGTGAGTGTGTGAGTGGGTGAGTGAGTGAGTGAGTGGGTAGGTGAGTGGGTGAATGGGTGGGTGAGTGAGTGAGTGGGTGAGTGAGTGGGTGAGTGAGTGGGTGAGTGAGTGAGTGAGTGGGTGAGTGGGTGAGTGAGTGAGTGGGTGAGTGAGTGGGTGAGTGAGTGAGTGGGTGAGTGAGTGAGTGAGTGGGTGAGTGAGTGAGTGAGTGGGTGAGTGAGTGAGAGGGTGAGAGAGTGAGTGGGTGAGTGAGTGGGTGAGTGAGTGGGAGAGTGGGTGAGTGAGTGAGTGGGTGAGTGGGTGAGTGAGTGAGTGGGTGAGTGGGTGAGTGAGTGGGAGAGTGGGTGAGTGGGTGAGTGGGTGAGTGAGTGAGTGGGTGAGTGAGTGGGTGAGTGGGTGAGTGGGTGGGTGAGTGAGCGAGTGGGTGAGTGGGTGGGTGAGTGGGTGGGTGGGTGAGTGGGTGAGTGGGTGATTGGGTGAGTGGGTGAGTGAGTGGGTGAGTGAGTGGGTGATTGGGTGAGTGAGTGGGTGGGTGGGTGAGTGAGTGGGTGGGTGGGTGAGTGGGTGGGTGGGTGGGTGAGTGGGTGAGTGAGTGGGAGAGTGGGTGAGTGAGTGGGTGAGTAGGTGAGTGAGTGGGTGAGTGGGTGAGTGGGTGAGTGAGTGAGTGAGTGGGTGAGTGGGTGAGTGAGTGGGTCAGTGAGTGGGTGAGTGGGTGAGTGAGTGAGTGGGTGAGTGAGTGGGTGGGTGGGTGAGTGGGTGAGTGAGTGGGTGAGTGAGTGAGTGGGTGGGTGAGTGAGTGGGTGAGTGAGTGAGTGGGTGAGTGAGTGAGTGAGTGGGTGAGTGAGTGGGTGAGTGGGTGAGTGGGTGGGTAGGTGAGTGGGTGAATGGGTGAGTGAGTGGGTGAGTGAGTGGGTGGGTGGGTGGGTGAGTGAGTGAGTGAGTGGGTGAGTGAGTGAGTGAGTGGGTGAGTGAGTGGGTGAGTGAGTGGGAGAGTGGGTGAGTGAGTGAGTGGGTGAGTGGGTGAGTGAGTGAGTGGGTGAGTGGGTGAGTGGGTGAGTGGGTGAGTGAGTGGGAGAGTGGGTGAGTGAGTGAGTGGGTGAGTGGGTGAGTGAGTGAGTGGGTGAGTGAGTGGGTGAGTGGGTGAGTGGGTGGGTGAGTGAGCGAGTGGGTGGGTGGGTGGGTGAGTGGGTGAGTGAGTGGGTGATTGGGTGAGTGGGTGAGTGAGTGGGTGAGTGAGTGAGTGGGTGATTGGGTGAGTGAGTGGGTGGGTGGGTGAGTGAGTGGGTGGGTGGGTGAGTGGGTGGGTGGGTGGGTGAGTGGGTGAGTGAGTGAGTGGGTGAGTGAGTGGGAGAGTGGGTGGGTGAGTGAGTGAGTGGGTGAGTGAGTGAGTGGGTGAGTGAGTGAGTGGGTGAGTGAGTGAGTGGGTGAGTGAGTGAGTGGGTGGGTGGGTGAGTGAGTGAGTGGGTGAGTGGGTGAGTGAGTGAGTGGGTGAGTGAGTGGGTGAGTGGGTGAGTGAGTGAGTGGGTGAGTGAGTGAGTGGGTGAGTGGGTGGGTGAGTGAGTGAGTGTGTGAGTGAGTGAGTGGGTGAGTGAGTGGGTGGGTGGGTGAGTGAGTGGGTGAGTGAGTGGGTGGGTGGGTGAGTGGGTGAGTGAGTGAGTGAGTGGCTGGGTGAGTGGGTGAGTGAGTGGGTGAGTGAGTGAGTGGGTGAGTGAGTGGGTGGGTGAGTGAGTGAGTGGGTGAGTGAGTGGGTGAGTGGTTGAGGTGAGCACCTGTAGGATGGTTGTGAGTCATCTTGCCACTCGCCAAGCTCACCTCAACCAGGTCATCAAGCTGCTCTTCACGTGGAAACCTAAAAACAACAACCACAACCACCACAACAACCACAACAACAACAACAACCACCATCACTACCACCACAACCATCACTACCACAACCATCACTACCACCACAACCACAACCACCACCACAACCACCACAACAACCACCATCACTACCACAACAAACACCACAACGACCACAACAACAACCACCATCACTACCACAACAACCACCACAACAACCACAACAACAACCACCATCACTACCACAACAACCACCACAACAACCACAAACACCACCACAACCACCACCATCACTACCATCACTACCACCACAACCACCACCACTACCACCACTTCTACCACAACCACCACCACTATCACCACCACCACAACCACCACCACTTCCACCACTACCACCACCACCACAACCATCACAACCATCACTACCACCACAACCACCACCGCAACCACCACAACCACCACAACCATCACAACCACCACCACAACCACCACAACCATCACAACCACCACCACAACCATCACAACCATCACCACAACCATCACAACCACCACAACCACCACCACAACCACCACCACAACAACCACCACCACAATCATCACAACCACCACCACAACCACCACCACCACCACCACCACAACCATCACAACCATCACTACCATTACAACCACCACAACCATCTCAACCATCACTACCACCACAACCACAACCAACAACAACAACCACAACCACCACCACAACCATCACTACCACCACAACCACAACCACCACAACAACAACCATTACTACCACAACCACCACCACAACCATCACAACCACCACAACCATCACAACACCCACCACAACCACAATCACCACAACCACCACTATCACCACCACCACTACCACCAAAGCCACTACCACCACCACAACCACCACAACCACCACCACTACCACAACCATCACAACCATCACTACCACCACAACCATCACTACCACAACCATCACTACCACCACAACCACAACCACCGCCACAACCACCACAACAACAACCACAACCATTACTACCACCACAACCATCACTACCACCACAACCACCACCACTACCACAACCATCACAACCATCACTACCACCACAACCATCACTACCACAACCATCACTACCACCACAACCACAACCACCGCCACAGCCACCACAACAACAACCACAACCATTACTACCACCACAACCATCACAACCATCACTACCACCACAACCACCACAACAACTACAACCATCACTACCACAACAACCACCACAACAACTACAACCATCACTACCACCACAACCACCACAACAACAACCACAACCAATACTACCACCACAACCACCACAACCATCACAACCACCACAACCATCACAACAACCACCACAACCACAACCACCACAACCACCACCACTAGCACCAAAGTCACCACCACTACCACCACCACAACCACCACAACCACCACCACTACCACAACCATCACAACCACCACAACCACCACAACCATCACAACACCCACCACAACCACAACCATCACAACCACAACCATCACAACCACCACTATCACCACCACCACCACTACCACCAAAGCCACTACCACTACCACCATCACTACCACCACAACCACCACCACAACCACAACCATCACTACCACCACAACCACAACCATCACAACAACCACCACCACAACCACCACAACAACAACAACCACCACAACCAGACAGCACAACTACAACCCAGGTGAGGTGGCAGCAAGTGAACCCCCCAACAGGAAGTGCCCCCCCAACAGGAAGTGCCCCCCAACAGGAAGTGCCTCCCCCAAACAGGAAGTGCCTCCCCCCCAACAGGAAGTGCCTCCCCCCAACAGGAAGTGCCCCCCCAACAGGAAGTGCCTCCCCCCCATCAGGAAGTCGCCCCCCCTAACAGGAAGTACCTTCCCCCCCCACAGGAAGTGCCCCCCCAACAGGAAGTGCCTCCTCCCCAACAGGAAGTCGCCCCCCCCTAACAGGAAGTACCTTCCCCCCCCAACAGGAAGTGCCCCCCCAACAGGAAGTGCCTCCCCCAACAGGAAGTGCCCCCCCAACAGGAAGTGCCTCCCCCCCAACAGGAAATCGCCCCCCCTAACAGGAAGTACCTTCCCCCCCCAACAGGAAGTGCCCCCCCAACAGGAAGTGCCTCCCCCAACAGGAAGTGCCTCCCCCCAACAGGAAGTCGCCCCCCATAACAGGAAGTACCTTCCCCCCCCAACAGGAAGTGCCTCCCCCAAACAGGAAGTCGCCCCCCTAACAGGAAGTGCCTCCCCCAACAGGAAGTCGTCCCCCCCAAACAGGAAGTGCCCCCCCCCCCAACATGGAAGTGCCCCCTCCCAAAAGGAAGTCGCCCCCCACCTAACAGGAAGTGCCTCCCCCAAACAGGAAGTGCCCCCCCCCAACATGGAAGTGCCCCCTCCCAAAAGGAAGTCGCCCCCCACCTAACAGGAAGTGCCCCCTCCCAAAAGGAAGTCGCCCCCCACCTAACAGGAAGTGCCCCCGCCCCACTCTGCAACAGGAAGTCGCCCCCCCCCCGCAACAGGAAGTCGCCCCTCCCCCCTAACAGGAAGTGCCACCGCCCCACTCTGCAACAGGAAGTCGCCCCCCCCTAACAGGAAGTCGCCCCTCCCCCGCAACAGGAAGTCGCCCCCCCCCCCCCGCAACAGGAAGTCGCCCCTCCCCCCCTAACAGGAAGTTCCACCGCCCCACTCTGCAACAGGAAGTCGCCCCCCCCCTAACAGGAAGTCGCCCCCCCCCCGCAACAGGAAGTCGCCCCTCCCCCCCTAACAAGAAGTGCCCTCGCCCCACTCTGCAACAGGAAGTCGCCCCCCCCTAACAGGAAGTCGCCCCTCCCCCCCTAACAGGAAGTGCCCCCGCCCCACTCTGCAACAGGAAGTCGCCCCCCCCCGCAACAGGAAGTCGCCCCCCCCCGCAACAGGAAGTGCCCTCGCCCCACTCTGCAACAGGAAGTCGCCCACCCCCCAAACAGGAAGTCGCCCCCCCAACAGGAAGTGCCCCCACCTCACCCCCCAAACAGGAAGTCGCCCCCCCCACCCCCGCCCCGCCCCGCCCCTGCGTGGGTGTCGGTGTCACGTGACGGTGCGCGTCACCGCAGCCCGATGCACATGGCCCGCATGGCGGCCCCGCAGCCCGTGGCGTTGGGGTTGAAGGGGACCCGGAAGCCGCCAGGGCGGCCCGGACGTAGCTGGGACGTGCCTGGGGACACAGACAGAGAGAGAGAGACAGAGACAGACAGAGAGACACACACACAGAGACACACAGAGACACACACACACACAGACACACAGAGACACAGAGACAGTGAGACGTTGGGGTTGAAGGGGACCCGGAAGCCGCCAGGGCGGCCCGGACGTAGCTGGGACGTGCCTGGGGACACAGACAGAGAGAGAGAGACAGAGACAGACAGAGAGACACACACACAGAGACACACAGAGACACACACACACACAGACACACAGAGACACAGAGACAGTGAGACGTTGGGGTTGAAGGGGACCCGGAAGCCGCCAGGGCGGCCCGGACGTAGCTGGGACGTGCCTGGGGAGACACAGACAGAGAGAGAGAGACAGAGAGAGACACAGAGAGAGACACAGAGAGACACAGTGAGACACAGAGAGAGACACAGACACACACACAGAGACACAGTGAGAGAGACACACAGAGAGAGACAGAGACAGTGAGACACAGACACACACAGAGACACACAGACACAGTGAGACACACACAGAGACACACACACACAGACACACAGACATAGACACAGACACACACACACAAACACAGAGACACGTTGGGGTTGAAGGGGACCCGGAAGCCGCCAGGGCGGCCCGGACATGCCTGGGGAGACACAGACAGAGACAGACAGTGAGACACAGAGACAGAGAGAGACACAGACAGAGACAGAGAGACAGAGAGAGACAGACACACACACAGAGACACAGTGAGAGAGACACACACACACAGTGACATACACAGTGACACACACACACACAGTGACACACACACAGTGACATACACAGTGACACACACAGAGTGACACACACACAGTGACACACACACACACAGTGACACACACAGTGACATACACAGTGACACACACACAGAGTGACACACACACAGTGACACACACAGTGACACACACAGTGACACACACACAGTGACACACACACACAGAGTGACACACACAGTGACACACACACAGTGACACACACACACAGTGACACACACAGTGACACACACAGTGACACACACACAGTGACACACACAGTGACACACACAGTGACACACACACAGTGACACACACACACAGAGTGACACACACAGTGACACACACACACAGAGTGACACACACACACACACAGTGACACACACAGTGACACACACACAGTGACACACACACACAGTGACACACACAGTGACACACACACACAGTGACACACACACAGTGACGCACACACAGTGACACACACACAGACACACACACAGTGACACACACACAGTGACATACACAGTGACACACACACACAGTGACACACACACAGACACACACACACAGTGACATACACAGTGACACACACACAGTGACACACACACAGACACACACACACAGTGACACACACACAGTGACACACACAGTGACACACACACAGTGACACACACAGTGACACACACACACACAGTGACATACACAGTGACACACACAGTGACACACACACAGTGACATACACAGTGACACACACACACACAGTGACATACACAGTGACACACACACACAGTGACACACACACAGTGACACACACACACAGTGACACACACACAGTGACACACACACACAGTGACACACAGTGACACACACACAGTGACACACACACAGTGACACACACACACACACAGTGACACACAGTGACACACACAGACACACACACAGAGTGACACACACACAGTGACACACACAGTGACATACACAGTGACACACACACAGTGACACACACACAGTGACACACACACACAGTGACACACACACAGTGACACACACACACAGTGACACACACAGTGACACACACACAGTGACACACACAGTGACACACACAGACACACACACAGTGACACACACAGTGACACACACAGTGACACACACACAGTGACACACACACACAGTGACACACACAATGACACACACAGACACACACACACAGTGACACACACACAGTGACACACACACAGAGTGACACACACAGAGTGACACACACACAGAGTGACACACACACACAGTGACACACACACAGTGACACACACACAGAGTGACACACACACAGTGACACACAGTGACACACACAGTGACACACACACAGTGACACACACACACACAGTGACACACACACAGTGACACACACACAGTGACACACACACACAGTGACACACACACACAGTGACACACACAGTGACACACACACAGTGACACACACACACAGTGACACACACAGTGACACACACAGTGACACACACACACACACACAGTGACACACACACACACAGTGACACACACACACAGACACACACACAGTGACACACAGACACACACACAGAGTGACACACACACACAGTGACACACACACACAGTGACACACACACACAGTGACACACACGGTGACACACACACACAGACACACACACACAGTGACACACACACAGTGACACACACACAGTGACACACACACACAGTGACACACACACACACAGTGACACACACAGTGACACACACACAGTGACACACACACAGTGACACACACACAGTGTACACACACACAGTGACACACACACAGTGTACACACACACAGTGACACACACACACAGACACACACACACAGAGTGACACACACAGAGTGACACATACAGAGTGACACACACAGTGACACACACACAGTGACACACACAGTGACACACACACACAGTGACACACACACACAGTGACACACACACAGTGACACACACACAGTGACACACACACACAGTACACACACACAGTGACACACACACAGTGACACACACAGTGACACACAACAAAGATAACAAAGATCCCCCATATAGCCTTAACAGACTGTAGGGGCAAGTGCTGTTAGCGAGCACCTATGAAGGCCGGAACGGTACACGAGGGGGTGGGTGGCCAGCACCACGCCCGACCGCCTTTGTCTCCCCAGTGGCAATGTTTACTACACACCGCACCAGGTACTCATTTGAGGCTGAGTAGACCTAGGGGAGGCCCAGGACCGGTTCAGATAATCGTCACTGGTGTTGGCCGTGAGCGGGAATCGAACCCGGGTCGCCAGGTTCATAGCGCAGCGTAGCGCTAACCACTACACTATCACAGTGACACACACACACACACACACAGACACACACACAGTGACACACACACACACAGTGACACACACACACAGACACACACACACAGTGACACACACACACAGACACACACACACAGTGACACACACACACACAGTGACACACACACACAGAGTGACACACACACAGTGACACACACACAGTGACACACACACACACAGTGACACACACACACAGTGACACACACACACAGACACACACACACAGTGACACACACACACAGACACACACACACAGTGACACACACACACACAGTGACACACACACACAGACACACACACACAGAGTGACACACACACAGTGACACACACACAGTGACACACACACAGACACACATACACAGTGACACACACAGTGACACACACACACAGTGACACACACACACACAGTGACACACACAGTGACACACACACACAGTGACACACACACACACAGTGACACACACACACAGACACACACACACAGTGACACACACACACAGACACACACACACAGTGACACACACACACACAGTGACACACACACACAGACACACACACACAGTGACACACACACAGTGACACACACACAGAGTGACACACACACACAGTGACACACACACAGAGTGACACACACACAGTGACACACACACAGTGACACACACACAGACACACATACACAGTGACACACACAGTGACACACACACACAGTGACACACACACACAGTGACACACACAGTGACACACACACACAGTGACACACACACACACAGTGACACACACACAGAGTGACACACACAGTGACACACACACACAGTGACACACACACACAGTGACACACACACAGTGACACACACACAGAGTGACACACACACAGTGACACACACACAGTGACACACACACACACACAGTGACACACACACAGAGTGACACACACACAGAGTGACACACACACAGAGTGACACACACACAGTGACACACACACAGACACACACACACTAGTACACACACACACTGTGACACACACACACACACTAGTACACACACACACAGTGACACACACACAGTGACACAGAGTGACACACACACAGAGTGACACACACAGTGACACACACACAGTGTACACACACACAGAGTGACACACACACACAGAGTGACACAGACACACAGTGACACACACACACACAGTGACACACACACACAGTGACACACACACACAGTGACACACACACAGTGACACACACACAGACACACACACAGAGTGACACACACACAGTGACACACACACAGTGACACACACAGTGACACACACACACAGTGACACACACAGTGACACACACAGTGACACACACAGTGACACACACACAGAGTGACACACACAGTGACACACACAGTGACACACACACAGACACACACACACAGAGTGACACAGTGACACACACAGTGACACACACACAGACACACACACAGAGTGACACACACACAGTGACACATACACACAGAGTGACACACACACAGTGACACACACACTGTGACACACACACAGTGACACACACACAGACACACACACAGAGTGACACACACACACAGACACACACACAGAGTGACACACACAGTGACACACACACACAGTGACACACACACAGTGACACACACACACACAGAGTGACACACACACACAGAGTGACACACACAGTGACACACACACACACAGTGACACACACACACAGACACACACACAGAGTGACACACAGACACACACACAGACACACACACAGAGTGACACACACACACAGTGACACACACACACAGTGACACACACACAGAGTGACACACACAGAGTGACACACACACAGTGACACACACACAGACACACACACAGAGTGACACACACACACAGTGACACACACACACACAGTGACACACACAGTGACACACACACACAGTGACACACACACACACAGTGACACACACACACTGTGACACACACACACACAGTGACACACACACACAGTGACACACACACAGAGTGACACACACACACAGTGACACACACAGTGACACACACACACAGTGACACACACACAGAGTGACACACACACACACACAGACACACACACACACAGTGACACACACACACAGTGACACACACACACAGTGACACACACACAGACACACACACAGAGTGACACACACACACAGTGACACACACACAGTGACACACACACACAGTGACACACACAGTGACACACACACACACAGTGACACACACACACAGTGACACACACAGTGACACACACACACACAGTGACACACACACACAGTGACACACACAGTGACACACACACACACAGTGACACACACACACAGTGACACACACACAGTGACACACACACACAGTGACACACACACACAGTGACACACACACACACAGTGACACACACACACACAGTGACACACACACACAGTGTACACACACACACAGTGACACACACACACACACAGACACACACACAGAGTGACACACACACAGACACACACACACAGAGTGACACACACACAGTGTACACACACACACAGTGACACACACACACACACAGACACACACACAGAGTGACACACACACAGACACACACACACAGAGTGACACACACACAGACACACACACAGAGTGACACACACACACACAGTGACACACACACAGTGACACACACACACAGTGACATACACACAGTGACACACACACACAGTGACACACACACAGACACACACACAGAGTGACACACACACACAGTGACACACACACACACACAGACACACACACACACAGTGACACACACACACAGTGACACACACACACAGTGACACACACACAGACACACACACAGAGTGACACACACACAGTGACACACACACACAGTGACACACACAGTGACACACACACAGACACACACACACAGTGACACACACACATCAGCTCTTGCCCCGTAGCCCACGTGGGCTACACACGAGGCGAGACACCTTTGTCTGCGTACAGTGCAGGTACAGTTTTGTACAGTGCACGTACAGTTTTATACAGTGCATGTACAGTTTTGTACAGTGCACGTGCAGTTTTGTACAGTGCACGTACAGTGTAGGCGCCGTGTTTGTACAGTGCACGCGCGGTGCGTCGCGGTGTTTGTACAGTGCGCACACGTTTGTGCACGCGCGTGTACAGTGCACGTACAGTGTGTGTACAGTGCGTTTCGGTGTGTGTACAGTGTTTACCCAGAATGCTCGTGGGGCCCGGCTTCCTGCCCTCCATGTCCAACATGGCCGCCACGTAGCCGGCAGCCATTTTGTGGAAGAGGACTTCCTTGGCTTGGGCATCTAAAGTCAACAACAATCACAACAATCACAACAACAATCACTACTACAACAACAACAATCACTACAATCACAACAATCACAACAACAATCACTACTACAACAACAACAATCACTACAATCACAACAATCACTACAACAATCACTACTACAACAACAACAACAATCACTACAATCACTACAATCACAACAACAATAACAACAACAACAATCACATCAACAACAACAACAATCACTACAATCACAACAATCACAACAACAATCACAACAACAACAACAATTACTACAATCACTACAACAACAATTACTACAACAACAACAAAACAACAACATCAACAACAATCACTACAACAACATCAACAACAACAATCACTACAACAACAACAATCACAACAATCACTACAATCACAACAATCACATCAACAATCACTACAACAACAACATCAACAACAACAATCACTACAACAACAACAATCACTACAACAACAATCACTACTACAACAACAACAATCACTACTACAACAACAACATCAACAACAACAACAATCACTACAACAACAACAATCACTACAACGACATCAACAACAACATCAACAACAATCACTACAGCAACACAACAACAATCACTACAACAACAACAATCACTACAACAACAATCACTACAACAACAACATCAACAACAACAAAACAACAATCACTACAACAATCACTACAACAATCACTACAACAACAATCACTACAACAACAACAATCACATCAACAATCACTACAATCACTACAACAATCACTACAACAACAATCACTACAACAACAACAATCACTACAACAATCACTACAACAATCACTACAACAACAACAACCACCACAACAACAACAACAATCACTACAACAACAACAATCACTACAACAACAACAACAACAATCACTACTACAACAACAACAACAAAACAACAACATCAACAACAATCACTACAACAATCACTACAACAACAATCACTACAACAATCACTACAACAACAACAACAATCACTACAACATCAACAATCACTACAACAACAACAAAACAACAACATCAACAACAATCACTACAACAATCACTACAACAATCACTACAACAACAACAACAATCACTACAACATCAACAATCACTACAACAACAACAAAACAACAACATCAACAACAACATCAACAACAACATCTAAAGTCAACAACAACAATCACTACAATCACAACAACAACAATCACTACAACAATCACTACAATCACTACAACAATCACTACAACAACAACAATCACATCAACAATCACTACAATCACTACAACAATCACTACAACTACAACAATCACATCAACAATCACTACAACAACAATCACAACAACAACAACAATCACTACAACAATCACTACAACAATCACTACAACAATCACTACAACAACAATCACAACAACAATCACTACAACAACAACATCAACTACAACAAAAACAATCACAACAACAACAATCACTACAACAACAATCACTACAACAACAACAACGACATCAACCACAACAACAACAATCACTACAACAACAACAATCACTACAACAACAACCACATCAACAACAACAACATCAACAACAACCACATCAACAACCACAACAACCACAACAACAATATCAACAACAACCACAACAACCACATCAACAACATCAACAACAACATCAACAACCACAACAACCACATCAACAACATCAACAACATCAACAACCACATCAACAACCACAACAACCACAACAACAAAATCAACAACAACAACCACAACAACCACATCAACAACATCAACAACCACAACAATCACAACAACCACATCAACCACAACAACCACAACAACAACCACATCAACAACATCAACAACCACAACAATCACAACAACCACATAAACAACCACAACAACATCAACAACATCAACCACAACAACCACAACAACCACATCAACAACATCAACAACCACAACAACAACCACATCAACAACAACCACAACAACCACATCAACAACAACATCAACAACAACCACACACCAACAACCTGGGTCTCTGACTCACCCACTCACCAACTTACTAACTCACTCACCCACTCACTCACCCACTCACCCACCTATCCACTCACTCACCCATCCACCCTACTCTCCCACTCACTCACTCACCCACTCACCCACTCACTCATTCACTCACCCATCCACTCACCCACTCACCCACCCACTCACTCACTCACCCACCCACCCACCCCCTCACCCACTCACCCACTCACCCACTCACTCACTCGCTCACCCACCCACTCACCCACCCACTCACCCACTCACTCACTCACCCACCCACCCACTCACCCACTCACTCACCCACCCACTCACCCACTCACCCACCCACTCACCTACCCACTCACCCACTCACCCACCCACTCACCCACAAACCCACTCACCCAGTCACTCACTCATTCACTCACCCACCCACTCACCCACCCACCCACTCTCCCACTCACCCACCCACTCACCCACTCACTCTCCCACTCACCCACCCACTAAACCACTCACTCACCCACCCACTCAATCACCCACCCACTCACCCACTCACTCACCCACTCACTCACCCACCCACTCACTCACCCACCCACCCACTCACCCACTCATCCACCCACCCACTCATCCACTCATCCACTCACCCACTCATCCACTCACCCACTCACTCACCCATTCACCCGCTCATTCACCCACTCACCCACTCACTTATTCACTCACCCACCCACTCACCCACTCACCCACTCACTCATTCACTCACCCACCCACTCACTCACCCATCCACCCTACTCTCCCACTCACTCACTCACTCACCCATCCACTCAGTCACTCACTCACCCACTCACTCACTCACCCACTCACCCACGCACTCACTCACCCACCCACCTACTCACCCACTCACCCACTCAATAACTCAACCCACACACTCACTAACTCACTCACCCACTCACCCACTCACTCACTCACTCACCCACCCACTCACTCACCCACCCACTCACCCACCCACTCACCCACTCACTCACTCACTCACTAACTAACTCACTCACCCACTCACTCACTCACTCACCCACCCCTCCACCAACCCACCAACCCACTCACCCACTCACTCACCCACCCACTCACCCACCCACTCACTCACCCACTCACTCACCCACTCACTCACTCACTAACTCACTCACTCACCCACTCACTCACTCACCCACTCACTCACCCACTCACTAACTCACTAACTCACTCACTCACTAACTCACTCACTCACCCACTCACCCACTCAATCACCCACGCACTCACTCACCCACCCACTCACTCACCCACTCACCCACTCACTCATTCACTCACCCACCCACCCACTCACTCACCCACCCACTCACTCACTCACTCACCCACCCACCCACCCACTCACTCACCCACTCACTCACTCACTCACCCACTCACTCACTAACTCACTCACCCACCCACTCAGTCACTAACTCACTCACTAACTCACTCCCTCACCCATCCACTCACCCACCCACTCACTCACTCACCCACCCACCCATTCACTCACCCACTCACCCACTCACTCACCCACTCACTCACCCACTCACCCACCCACTCACTCACCCACTCACTCACTCACCCACTCACTCACTCACTCACCCACTCACTCACCCACTCACCCACTCACCCACCCACTCACTAACTCACTAACTCACTCACCCACTAACTCACTAACTAACTCACTAACTCACTAACTCACTCACTAACTCACTAACTCACCCACCCACACACTCACTAACTCACTAACTCACTCACCCACTCACTCACCCACTAACTCACTAACTCACTAACTAACTCACTCACTCACTAACTCACTAACTCACTCACTCACTAACTCACTCACCCACTAACTCACTAACTCACTAACTAACTCACTCACTAACTAAGTCACTCACTAACTCACTCACTAACTCACCCACACACTCACTAACTCACTAACCCACTCACCCACTCACTAACTCACCCACCCACTCTCCCACTCACCCACCCACTCACTCACTAACTCACCCACTCACTCACTCACTCACCTACTCACTCACCCACTCACTCACTCACACACTCACTAACTCACTCACTAACTCACTCACTAACTCACTCACTCACTAACTCACTAACTCACTCACCCACTCACCCACCCACTCACTCACTCACTCACTAACTCACTCACTAACTCACTCACTAACTCACTAACTCACTCACTAACTCACTAACTCACCCACCCACACACTCACTAACTCACTCACCCACTCACTCACTCACCCACTAACTCACTAACTCACTCACTAACTCACTCACTCACTAACTCACTAACTCACTCACTCACTAACTCACTAACTCACGCACCCACTAACTCACTAACTAACTCACTAACTCACTCACTAACTCACTAAGTCACTCACTAACTCACTCACTAACTCACTAAGTCACTCACTAACTCACCCACACACTCACTAACTCACTAACTCACTAACCCACTCACCCACTCACTAACTCACTCACCCACCCACTCTCCCACTCACCCACTCACTCACTAACTCACCCACTCACTCACCTACTCACTCACCCACCCACCCACTCACTAACTCACTCACTAACTCACTCACTAACTCACTCACTCACTAACTCACTAACTCACTCACTAACTCACTAACTCACCCACCCACACACTCACTAACTCACTCACCCACTCACTCACTCACCCACCCACTCACTCACCCATCCACCCACCCACTCACTCACTCACCCACTCACCCACCCACTCACTCACTCACCCACTCACTCACTCACC